TCTCTGTTGCTACAGGTTTACAGAATCTAAACAGCCTAAGCAGAAAATCACCTATTTCAAGGAACATGAGCTGAATGAAACACCCCATACATACACCTAATTCACACTTATGAAAAACAATTCTTTTGCAGAGTTGAAGGACCTTTAGCTGAAACAAAGGTTTTTGAATTCAGAAAGAATTTTGGGAAGACTGGATCTTACCGTCTTTATTCAATTAAAACACTATCATGAAGGCAGTTTAGAAATCAAAGACTGACTGTCTCACAAATCAATGACATTAAAAGAAAACAGAAGTTTCCTGCCCTTTCACTGTCATGATGAATCTTGCATCACAGGAGAAGCACTTCAGATCAGCTGTATAATTACTAGGGTTGGTAAAACATGATGATGGAAACTAAACATAAAATTTAAATCTAGTCAGTTATCTGATATGTTTCTCCTTTTCTTCTTGTTCTCCTCTGCTTTCAGTGTAACTGCTAAGCCAGATTGTGTGCAAACAAATATGTTAAATCTAAACTTAGTATGCACAGAACTCTCTAAGTTATGCCATGCTATCAGGGTACAAGCTCTAAGGTTAGTTTCTTAGATATTACTAATTATGGCTCTTAGAGGCAGAAAAGAAAACATAAGACCAATGTCTGTAGCATAGCTCATTTTTATTGTTTAAACAGTTTTTGCATAGGAAATATATCCGCTTCCAGTAATTGACTGCAGTATGAGCAGCTGCTAGCAGTGTAGGCTGGATATAACAGTAACAATCACATTAAGTCAAGCTTGATTTACACCAGTTTAAAACTTGTGGCAGTTGAGTTCATTTGTAACCTAAAAAAAAAGTACCAAAAAGAACATTATTATCCTCCAACCAGGCACAATAAAAACCTTTGTTAACACTCAGGCTAAAAACAGTTTTGATGCCAGAGGGCCCTAATTCCAAAATTAAGTAGCTGTACTGTAATGCATCCAACTAGTGAAGGTTCATTACACAAAGACTGTGTATGCACCGTCTTTTTAATTAAAATGAAACCTTCAGGATTTATGGCCTACAAAATGGGGAAAAATGCCAAAAGTTTTAAAATGGATCAACCCTGGTATGTAGCTAGCAAGCAATAACTGACTACTTGTCACCTACAGTTGTACTAAATGTATCTAAAGAAACACACAGCCCTACAAAAGTTGTTCTCAGAGAAATATCAATATGGGGTGCCTTTTCCCAGCTTACTAAAAGTTCTATATGATATAAGCACAAATTAACAGCTTGATGAAGACATCTAATGCAGCTCTTGAGAAGTCTATGCCTGGGATTAAGGAACCCCTCACATTCTACAATGTTGTAGAGATTATTTTTGAAGAAAATGTTATCTGAAACATATTTACAGCTGAACTCAACAGAGACTGTGAAATTGAACAGGCACTGCTCATTTGTTTGAGTTTTTTGGTAAACATTTTGCTGGTTTTTGTTTCTTTCTCATTTTGCATCAACTTCTATCAGTCCATGCAACTTCAATGCCCTCAATGAAGAATGCATAATAAGCCATACTTCTTAAAAAACTTCCTTCTGCATATAGAGATACATTTGCCACATCAGTCCCTGTAGCACAGTTTTCAAAACCATTCTGTCAAAAATACAGTAATACAAAGACTGGCTTTAGTGTCACTAGCTCACACTGCTCTCCATTTATTTAGGCCACCTTTTGTTTTACTGTTACCGTATCATGCAATGAAAGTATCAAAGGCTTATTCTAGTATATCATGATGCTAGTGGCACTGAAGCCCTTTATACAAATTCAACATACATCTGAATTGCAACACACAGATATTTCTAAAGAGTACTAACTAGTGAACCCTTTTATCATAAAAAACAAACAAACAAACAAACAAACTACTTACAACCATTGAAGAAAAAATTGCAACAAAAAAAATGTAAAAATTGACCGTCTCCAACTTGTCCCCTTTACTATTGACAACGCAACCAACAGAGCTGTGGCATGGAAACAGTACAAAGAGTTGTCATGGCAATAAGTTTGGCTGATGCAAAGGTCACTGTGCAGGGTTAAAGGGCAAAATAAGTGGTCCATGTTATCCTCCAACTGCAGTGCTCCACCACACCCAAACAATTTTGAAAAATTAGAAAAAACTGGGGAACTAGCAGAAAGTGCAAATAAGAAGGAGGCAGTTTTCAGCTCCTTCAGCATTGAGTAGAACATTCAGCTTTGAGCTTTTTTCCTGTTTAACTTGATTAGCTGGCATATGATTTTACTCTCTCCTTTTTTTCTTAAGCTTTCTATGGAAACCGAACAAAAAAATCCAGGAGCATGCAGCTGGTTAATGTTAACAAAAGACCTTGACAGGATCATGTAAACTATAGAGGATGTCATGATTGGGGCCTTACTGCCAGCAACATTAGAGAGTTTTTTCACTGAAAGTGAAAACTGTACACTGAATATGGGATAACTTTCTGCAGCCTTCATAATCTCACACAGTACATATAATTCAGATTTACGTACAGAACACACTTCGGTGTCACAGATGTCCTTGTGCAATCTCTTTCATTAAGTCCTTATGAAGCTACAAGTTGCAAATCCAAAATTCTGCTCCCTGAGGACACAGCTGTGTGAGACTTAAGTACTGTTTTAGCTCTCTGCCTATCCTGAATTGCTCTGTGAACCTAATCTTAAATACCATCATGTAACAATCACAAAAACTTTTGCTAAAGGCCATATATACTAATAAAAAGACAGTGGTGCTTCCAACATTTTGAAATGCTCTGAAAACCAACTTTTCCAATACTAAATACAACAAAATAACCTTCATAAAATATAACTTTTCTCCATTTACATTTTTAAAGGATTAGTAACCCATGCTTTTCAAGCACAGGAATCTGCGAAATAACTCCTAACATGGACAGATTTTTTTTTTTTTTAATACATAAATTAAGAAACTGGAGAGTTTTAACTCAAGTCCAGTTTCCAACAAAGAATATTTTTGTTTAAAAATGGAAATGCATTTCCATTATAATTGTTAAAAAGTTAGCTTTACAAACAAGGGTATTTTAATTAAAAAAAAATCCTTAACAAAACTATACAGTGTACAAATTACTGTCTACAAGGTAGGCGGTTCATTCAGAAGATCCTCCTTTCTTCTTGCTACTTGCAGCTTCACAAGCTCATTCACATATTTTTCAATGGAGCTGCCCACCTCAACATCACCCCACAACTATATTGCTATAATTAATATTTTTGCCATGTCTTTATGTACAGTCTCCTTCACTGCCTTTTTTTTCTTTCCTTAGTCAAGCCTCAAGCGTTCATGTCATTCCAGGGGAAACACACTTCAGTGGCACAGCCATGAGGCCAGGGCTGCAAAGCA